AGGCCACGCTGTGCGGTGGGTTTGCGGAATAAGGGATAGCTTTGTTCGATCTGGCACGTGACATGGCATGACATGGCAAGGGTGTTCTTGTCAGGAAAGTTCGTGCTCTCCTTCAACGGTGTCACTTGTTTTGATACAGCATTTCTGCCAAAACTTCCGATCCTGTTTCCAGCAGAGGACGCATCGCCTGTAGCAGACACACTGAGGTGAAGTCGCTCTCGGGCCCCAATGTTGTCAGCATTCTTCATGTGCCTTGAATGAGCTACTGTAGCTGCTTCAGCATGTGAATCTTTGCTGGCTGGGCACTTGCAGGCAAACTATTTCGAGGTGTTTTGCCAGCTGAACTGTGTGGACTCGCTCTGCAAAGACCCTTGCTCTAGATATGCTAGCTTCAGTGCCGTCATCCCGGCAGAGAGAGCATATGACTCAGGATGCATTGAGCAATGATATGGCAGTTGCCTCAATGGCTCCCTGGCTGGGCCTATCGTGGCAGCTTTCAGATGCACCCGGAAAAACAAAAGCGTGACTGCTTGGATTGCGGGTCCAGCCCCGCCAACTTTTCCTATGACGGTCGCCATTATCAAACGCCATTTATCTTTCAATAGAGGCCAAGCTTACAGCATGTTGTGGAGGCTTGTTGTGGTGTGGTTAAAGGACCCTCAGCCTGCTCATGGTGTTGATTTAAGCGGGGGATTTTTTCTGGGGCCCCCTGCCCACCCCCAGTGCTAAGAGTCGTCCTGCATCAGGCACTCCCGTCCCTGCAGGACTACCTGGCTCTTTTTGCTCCGCCATTCGGGCAGGTTTAAGCTTGCAGCATCCGACAAGCATGACCAATCTCAGAAGAGTGCCTATGAGGTATGAGGATCTCTTGCAGCTGGAGCCAGCGGACTTTGTTCAAGCCAAGGCAGGACAAGCCACTCATAATGATGTGAGTAGCCTCCAATCCTGACCAGGCCGATGCAGACATTTCCACAGCAGAGGCAAAGAATTGCATCTTGGAGCAAGTGCAGAAGGAGCATGAGGCTGCCTTGCCGCGAGACCTTGCTTGCAGTCACAAAATGTCGCAAAGCGATGCATGCGCAGATCCTGGAATCCATCCCTGAGTTCATTGTGGTTGGCCTCTTCGAGGCCAGGGCCTGGATAGCTGCTAAGCACAATTCTGTTTTATCCTGAAAAGGTGTTTTGACAGGTGTCTTGCCATGAGATCCGGAAGACCCTCGCAGGGAAGCACAGGTCCGGAGCTCGGTCACCAGTCCGTTTCGCTGACCAGCACTTGGAACGCAGCAGTCCACACTCGAGGAAGATCCAGGAGTTGCTCCTTGATATGATGTTGCTGCTGAGATGCATTAGAGGTGAATGCAGGGCCAGTCACGTTAGGCAAGCTGAAGTGGACATCAGAAAACTCTTTAAGGACCAAGTTCCGGGATGGCACCCAGGCCGGCGGCGGATTCAAACCGCTTTCCGAACACAAAGTTTCCCTGCGAGCGCCCATAACAAATGAAACACGGACTCGTTCATGGCGATTGCAAAGACTTGAGGAGATTACGGACGCTTACGCCGGGGTTTTCTCGCAACTCCGGAAGTCACCGAAGGTCTCACTGGCCAAGTTTTCATAGCAGCATGCCGCACCCATGGTTACAAGCATGCGCGTGGTGCTGCAGGACATCGAAGAGGTCACTGCCATGAGGGAGTTAGGGCCCTTGCTTCCCGATACCCAGAGCTGCACAATTGCCATGGGCAGTCCGTCTGCCTCAGGTATATTGCGACAATCCCTGCCGAAATTCTCAAGCTGCGGGGCTGCAATTGGAATGGCCCAAAGCTGGCAGTACAACACAATAGGCGTTTGCGCGCCAATTGCAAGCATCCCTGGGCAGGATGGCTCCTGACACGAAGAGGCCCAGCTGTCCGGTAGCGAAGCGCAAGCCCTTTCACTGTAAGCTCCTGACTTAGGATTCATCCTTAACTGGTGTCTCGAATTGGTGCTCAGCAGTCGCAAAACCTCGGGCTCGTGGGTTGCTAACAGTGTTGCTGGCCCTGGCGCAGGTGCTGTCCCTTTGGGTGCTACTGCACCGTGCCTTCGAGTCGCGTCCGCGTATTGTTTCTCGTCGTGTCCGTGTCTTGGTGCCGTGTCTCGCATTATCCCCATGTCATTTGCTCGTCGCTTCTGGGCGTCGTCGGGATCATGTTTGTGTCGGCGTCCTGGCTCGCCGAACCTGTCCAGCTTGTATGCTGTTGTCACGCGTGCGGAGTTGCCTGGTGCTATTCGCTGTCTTCTGCTGCAAATTATGATCGGTGTGTGGGGTTCGTGTTTGGGTTTGTGCCAAGCCGCGTGTTACCGGAGATGCCTCGACACCTACGGCGTGTTGGAAGAGTTCGGCGTCCAACTCACCGCCGACGACTTCTACCAACGTGCCAAGCTGCAACTTGTTACAGTAGTTGCCCTGCAGCACGTGTGAAGCACTCAGGTTGGCGCGTTTTTGGCTGCCCAAAGTCCACCTATGACCTCGTGGCCAAAGTTGAGGATGACATCAGGGAGCTGGAGGCCAATTGAAGCGTTTGAAGGCATTGCATGGCTGCCCTTTGCCTGCATTGCAGGCGTCCTTTGCAGCTGCGCAGCAGCAAGAACAGTCGGACTTCGATGACATGATCGTGGACATGGTCACCTCCCCAGCTGTTTAGCAAATTTACTGAGCTTGCCACTACGAACTCATGAGATGCAAACTCGTTTTGCACAAAGGCAAACACAATCGAAAATTTCGCTCAATACAATGAGACACGGCTGCAGACTTGTCACCTAACCTGGCAGTGGCTTGATCCGAAAGTCGCTGACCGAGTTTGCACTCCGCCATGCACCTTGATACCAGGATTTTGAAAAGTTGGATGAAATCTACGAGAATGTGGAGAGCGTCAACGAGCGCCTCAAATCTGCCCACAACTCAGTAAGATGACTCGGCGAGTGCAATTTAACGGCAAGTGGCTCCACGTTGTCTTGCCGCGACTGGGAGGCCGCAACTCAAGCCAAGCTGTTCAACTCAAGAGAACTTCTGTTTGGCAAGGAGGCAGCCCTGTCATTTGTCCACATCCCATTTACGACAGCTTTGCGCCTGGCTTCCTGCGCTGACCAGGCCACGGACTATGGAATGATTGCGCAGCTGACCAAAGAGCCATAATCCTATTCGCGGTTTATCCAGTCCACAGCTGTGATGGAGATTTGCAAAGCCTTGATTTGCACCTCGTCTGAGGTGGGAACCCTTCTCGCAACTCTGGGTGGTGTTCTTACAGGGCTCAACTTTCAAGGAGGCAGTGCTACCGTAGGTTGCGGTCAATTCTGTGGTGTGCCAGGTTACTGCGTACAACTGGACGTATGACTCCAAAAAATGGCTGCGCATGCCTCAGCTCGATAGTGCTAGGCATGCCTACTTCGAAGTCAGTCCCCAGGACGAATCAGTTCCAAACGGTGGACGCCAAAGCCTGCGAGTCCAGCGTGATGGTCAACACCTTTGGTGAACTTCACCCTCCTTTTTTCTCTTGGCTGCGAACCTTGCAATCAAGGCTGGCACGAAGACCCTCTTCAAGGCAGTCAGAGCTTTTGAGAAGCGAGAAGGCTGTGACGAGGCCGGGGCTCTAAGCCTCTCTAAGCCTCCAAGCTGTTCGTGCTGAAGCCTCCCTTTGCAGGTGTTGGGAATTGCGCGGCACATCAAGGACCGGCTCCGAAAATCATCTGCGGAACACTGATTGGAAGTCCCATGTATGATGCATGTATGATATGTAATTTTAGTTTTCTATAGTTTACCTTTGCATGTATGTATGTGTGCGTTGTTGACATTGGGCAGGAAGCGATCGATGCTTTCGTTCCCAAAGTGCCCATCGTGGTTGGCCTCCGGTACGGTCCTCAATCATGGAAATCAGTGGAAAACATGCTGAAGCTGCAGTCAAGCTAGGGCTGGTTACGTAAGCGGAAGCCAGCAGGGAATTTTTGCATTGCAACAGACACTTCGTCCTGCACCCGCACGGTTTTCTCACCCTAATTTTCCGAGGCGTGGCAGATCTGAATAGTTCTGAATCTACCGTATTTGAGAAGCCAAAAGGGATGCCGTAGTCTGGTTGCGCTCAGGAACCCGGGCATGGCCGACCGGCACTGGCAACAGGTGTCAGACCTCGTCGGAAGCGAAGTGAACCCGAGCATGGAGGCAGCGCTCACGGGGCGCGCATTTGCAAGTATGCGGTGGAAGCAAGGTAGGATATCCATGGCCTGTACACTGAAGACCTAGCTTTGTTTGGCAGGGCTTCACACTCGAGAAGTTTATCGAGCGCGCGCCTGAGAGACACCTCACAAGCGGAAGCAGGTGACAAGCTTGAATGGATGCCTCCGTTCCTCCAGTGCTCATGCAAGAGGTTGGGCATGGTTGAGCACGCTGCGGCCATTGCTGACATTGGGGATCGTGCCGGCAAGGCCACATGAGGTGGGACTGTTCGTCATTCAGCAACTCGTGGCATGGCTGCAGGAGCAGAACATTGAGAACCAGCTGAAGAGCATGCAGGCTTCGGGCCTGATACGTGCAAGCTGTTGCAAGAAGTATCTCTGGCAGACTCCGTTTTTCCGTAAGCCAACGCTGCTTCTTCCAGGCGGCATGGGACAAGGTCTTCTTCGACTGCAGTGAACCTTATCGCACCACAGAGTTTTGGCTGCAACGGGAATCGGTGCAATGGGACAGGGGTGACCTCAGGGTGACAGATCTACGTTGGCCCAGCCTAGGCTCTACGCCCACCTGCGTGGGTAGATTCTGCATGTCATTACACTTCAGAGACTGGAAGGTAGTTGTTTGTATTCATCTCAAATCCCAAAGCTAATGCTGACATGTAGGCCGGCTGCGAAGGCATGTTTGTTGGAAATGGCGCGGATCTAAGGGAACCTACATCCTCAAGGGCGCTGATGAGGTGCATGCAACACGGGTGGCTTGGGTAAAGCTACGGGATCACACGCGAGTGAGTCCCAGGTCATGGCAGTCTTGGACGAGCAAATCGTCGTGACTCAGGCAATGCAGCCGACCTCTTGGCCTCTATCACCCCAAGCGGGATGTACTTTTGCTGGTGGCTGCTCAGGTTCTCTCCCTTCAACAAGCCCTTCAAAGAGGATATTGACGAGTGGAATGACAAGCTGATGTATGTCTCTGAGTGTCCATCCCTCGGATGCCAAACGCGTCTACCAGGAGCAGCAATTGAAGAAGTGTAGTTCGAAGTGCTTCTGCCAAAGGCTTGGACCAGTGGCTCAAAGTGCAGCGTGCAACAAACTCGGAACAGCACTGCTTCTGTGCTTATTCACTTGTTGTTCAGCGTGGCGCGCCCAACCCAGGCATGGATGTACTTGCAGCCGATCTTTGATTCGTACGTGGCTCAGGGAAGGCATGAATGCCTTCAGCTTCCGCAACCATGTAGCAGAACATGCGACTATGCTGCAGATCGAGGTTGCTTCGGTGTCTCTTCCGTGCATGCTGAGGCCTGACATCATGAAGCAGCTCCCCACGGAGGGCAAGAAGTTCAAGGTTGTCGATGGTGTGCCGCTGAAGAGCAACGCAGTTGCTCAGGATGTATCATAGCTGATACCCTGCTCATTGTGAATAGCTTCAGGCAAATGGCGGCAAACAATGAGTCGCAGCCTCCATTTGTACCTAACCGCATGCGGCAAGATGCGAATGTGCATACTTCGCAAGGCCGAGTCCATAGCAATGGCCATGCGCTTACGCAGTGCACACAGGCCCCCAGAAAAAGGGAACATGCAAGCTTCTGATTGCACGGCTTTGCGCAGGAGGGGCTGCTGACGCAGTGGCAGACAGTGAACAGGGACTTGGACATTGTGGCATGGCGGCAAATGTTCCTATTCTGCTTGGCTGCGAGTGATGGGTGTCGTGTCCCGCAATACCATGGAAATGAATTCAAGAGCTGATCGTGGGAGTTTTGTGCTGGTTGCGCAGAGCATGATGGGAACGAGCGTCCTCGTTGGTTCAAGGTCCAGAAGGGCTTGGATGATTACCTCGCCACAAAGCCCGATCCCAAGTAAGACATGATCTGCGGTGTCTCGTTGCCTCTGGGAAAGCTACCAAGGTGTGCGGCCTTCGCGCGCTTCTACTTCTTGTCCAACGATGAGTTGCTCGAGATCCTCTCCCAGACGAAGGTGCACACCCCGGAGCACAGGAGCAACAGCTCATGCGCTCTAAGAAGTGCATGGCAGGACCCGCTGAGGGTGCAACCCTTCCTCTCGAAGGTTTTTGAGGCTTCGCTGGAGTCAAAATTCGCTTGCGCCGCTGCAGCTGCCTTTTTGGTTGTTGAGGCAATGAAGAAGCTGACGTTCACCGACCAGCTCGTCGCTACTCAAATGCATTCCAAGGAGGGAGAAATCATCGACTTTGCCTGGGGCTCAAGCTTGTGCTTTTTGCTAGGTGTGGATGTCCTGTGCTCGGTACGAGTTCAGGTGAATCCTGTGGTGACGAAGGACAAGAATGTGGAGACCTGGATGACAGACAGACTCTCAATGTGACAGCATTCTCCTAGCACTTGTGCGACCTTGCATGATCACAAATCTATTTGGCTGATAGCTGTGCAGTATATGGCTTTTGACAAGTCTCACGACAAGCAAGCAAAGAGAGTTCGCAACGGAGCACCCGAACGTACCCGGACATGAAGCATGTCGAGCTGCAACCAAAGCCTTACCCCCTTGTTCGCAACAATCAGCATGGCAACTGGTACAGCTGCTATGTCCATGCAAGAGGTTGCCGATCGGGTCATGGCTGAATTCCATGACCCCAACTTCCAAGCGGAAGTTGAGACTTTCATAAACTGCCACATTGAAGAATTTGCCGTGGTCCACTTTGACGGGAGCTGTCCGATGCAGTGGGTAAACATTCACAGGAAGTTTCGGAAGCTCTACGAGGACCTGGTGCCGCAGCAAGCTTTTGAGATTCGTGCACTTTCTGGACAATGTAAGCTCATCAACAACAGCCCACCAGCCCGCTTGCCACGGCTAACCCCTCTGTTTGTGATTTAGTGGCCGTATGCTGGAAGAATGTTTGCGTTTGCAATTGTGAATTTATCCCTTTTCCACAAAACACCACGATGAACCATGATTTGGTGGATTTGTTGCTTCTTTAAGGTCGGGTCGGACAAGGGGAACACTTTCGGCTTTCCAGCGGGGACTGTGCCATCGACCTCTTATCTATTGTTTTAGTTCAGTGTTTGATCTAAATTGTCGGAGTGGGGGTCCGACAGATAGCATTGAAGACATGTGGCTTTTTGCTAGGGGGCCTCCTTACTTGCCTTCTTGTGGGTGTTTGTAGGCTGGGTATACTGAGCCCTGAGGACCGCTTACTAAAGATATTAGATGATTGCGATGCAGAATGCACGAGCTTCATGGATTACTTCACTGCATGCAGTGAAGCCTACGGGCATGATCCGAACTTCAAGGCTCTTCTGGCAGCTCTGACAGCCAGTGAGGATTTTGAACAGTTCCAGCAGCTCATGCACCTTGTTTGATACGCAGGAGATTTGTCCAGTGTGCTTTGGAATTGCTGTTTCCATGGATTTGGTTTAGTTCTCTGCTCGGCGGCCGAGGTTCAATGCCGTGCGTGAAAACTGGGAGCCAGACGAGAACCAAAAAGGTCCAGCTACAGGCTATCAATTTCACCAGGTCGAGGTGTCCTTGCCCAGAGATGTGGAGCCTGGAAGTACTTTCCTCGTCAATTATCTCGGACAAGCGCATACCATCACTGTACCGTGCGAACCGCAGGATGGCTGGGTGATGACAGTGACACTACAAGTGCCCGAGTCCCTGCCGGCTGCAGCACCAGCCCCGCCTCCAGCGCCACCAGCGCCGCCGCCGCCAGCGTGAGAAGTGTGGCGCAGAAATCCGATAGTGCCTGACTATCCAGTCCAATGCTGACTGGGCTTGATGCGAAGAGGTGTTTACCAAACTTGCTCATGATGGTGCAAGGCTTGTGTATGGCCGGAGCAAAGCTAGCTGTTGATTGAGGAAGTTGAGAATGAGATGATTGCCGGTGTGCGAAACGTGTGTCGCATTGGAGTCGGCTCCCAAGCTACGAGTCAGACTCAGTCAAACTGTCCTTGTGAGCGGGAATTCAGGGCCCGGAGACGCGGGCCTGTGCTCGGCTTTTTTTGTTCGTTTGTTCATGCGTGCAGGTCGAGTCCTATCCAGAGATGCCACGAACAGAATGGGCCGTGTACCTGTTTATGGTTGGTCGAGATGCGAGAGATGCGACGCATATGTGAAAGAGACTCGCCCAGGTCTTGAAAAATCCAGGTCAGGTATGCCTGAACTCCAGCCAAGTGCACTGGTACGGGTCTGAGCACTTCCACGGAGTTTTCGACTTGACTCCTCTCGGTGCCTAGGACAGCAGAGGTCGAAGAAGCTATCAAAGGCCAGCAGTTTCAGAAGTGATGCAAAACGACGTTTGAGAGCGGATGCGTAGAGCTTCTTTTTTGCAGGTGGGACCGTCGCTGAGTACTTCACGCGGCTTAGCGAGCAGCTGCTTGACCTGGCCACCTCCCCAAGGGAAGCTTGCGGTCAGCTTGCTTCTTCGCTTCTTCAGCGACATCAACCTGCAGGTCCGGTTGGTGCGCGGCGACATCACGAAGTTGCAAAGGCCAATGGAGTTTTTAGGAAATGGTTTGCAACCAGTAGATGCTGCAGGATGAGCATCGGTGCGCTGGTGGTCATTGACGTGCATGCGAAGGTGCTGCCTTTCAACGTGAGACTGTACAGCACGGGAAAGAGTTGGTATATTGTGATGAAGACTTGGGCATGCAGGACACCGTGGAAAAGCTGGCCAAGGAGAAGATAGACGATTGTATGCCGGGCCCCCGCTCCGAATCTGTTAGCCTTGGATGTCTCGATACCGTGCAGCAGTGAAGGTCTTTCGAGTGGATTTCGCAGCTACGATACTACTGGGAGATGGACGATCGTAATTCTGAGACTTGGCAGGTTTTGTCAAGAGTCAGAAGCGGTTATCCAAGCTCAGAAGTTCAGTCTTCAATTATCGGGTTCCAAGGAGAATATGTGGGCTGTTGCCTCAGACCGATGAAGCCGGGTAGTCAACTGACATCAACATCCATCCAGTCATGGTGTTCGAGTGTGCCATCACATCAACGAGGTTCGCATGGTGCAGACGCCCTTTCCCTATGGTGCGAACCCAAGTTTGCCAGATTCCGCTTATTGCATGTCTCTGGCATGAGGTTTTCCAACACATTGACTCATGTGGCCGGCCGGCTAAGGCTACGAGTACTTGGGAAATTCCTTCCGGCTGGTGATCACCCCACTCACCGACATGCCAGCACCCCAGCTTCGCAGACCTGCGCTCAAAGCAGCATTGCCAATGCAGAACACGGTTTGTGATGTGTTTGCAGGTGCTACATGACCTTGATGGGTGCGCAGAGCCACCATCCCAAGCGCAGGGTGAAGGGTCAATTATATTGAAGTTGCTTTGCAATGCGCAGTCTTCAGCGGCCTGGATGCAAAAGGGCGAAGGGTTGGACCAAGCTCCGAGGCCTGAACCTGGGAGGTGCGCCTGCCGGGCCTGTCCGTGTCCTGGCCATCCCTCTGCCGCCTGATGCCTGCACCGCCAAATGCTGCGCGCAAGGCTGGAACTGGCAAAACGGAAACAACCAAAGATCTTGCCAAAGCATTGGCCAAACAGCTGCTGCCTCGGCACTTGCACGAAGTTCAGCCATCGTGAAGCCCACATATGATCACGTATGCACTTCGTCTGGCTCGAGCTTAAGCCTTGCCAGCCTCGCTGGCAGCCAATGCCCCATGACCTGGTGATCATTTTCCGGAATGTTGCTGGAGACAAGGTGTGCTCCATTCCAGCCTGCTTTTCGTGGCAGATCCGTCACATCAAGCAGCACTTAGCAAGCAGCCTAGAGATTCCGATCCACGAGCAGAGCCTTTTGTTACCAACATGCGCTTCAACGCTTAGAAACAGCCTCAAGCTGGACACCCTGAGATATGCCACTCATGAGCGGAACGTGGAAGATGTTCTCTCCGTGGAACTGGACTTGCTCCTTGTGCGCTTGGAACCGGTATGGGCAAGACTGATTGACAAGATACATGCTGGAACAAGATGCTTCACAGAAGCACCCGTGGAACTGCAGCAGGACCGTAGTTTCGTTCGTACGGTTGTTGAGAGCAATGGCCTTTTGCTTGCAAAAGTGCCGCACGCGTACAAGTCAGATGAGGAAATTGTCGTGGCTGCCGTGGCCGACAATCCGGCTGCAATGGCATTTGCCAGCTGCAGTCGCAGCTTGGTGCTGGCTGCTGTGAAGTGTCAAGGCCTCGCCCTTCAGTTTGTTTCAAAAACTTATAGAGATGATCCAGAGATTGTTTTGGCGGCGGTCGAGCAGGATGGTGGAGCCTTACAGTATGCTGGCAAACACCGGCTGCAGGACAAAGCCATCGTCGTGGCCGCAGTGTCGCAAAGGGGATCATCTCTGCAGCTTGCGGCCCCACACTTGCGTGACGACCGTGCGTGCGTACTAGCTGCCGTCTCCAATGATCCGTTGTCCCTTGCTCATGCCTCCATAGCTTTGCGAGATGATTCAGACGTAGTCCTGACCGCCACGTCCAAAAACTGGCGTGCTATGAAGTTTGCATCTTTGCGGCTTCGTGGCGATAAGGATTTCAAAGCGAAGGCAAAAGCCATGAAGTTTGCGATTTGCGCTGCCGATTCTGTTGTACAGAAAGCAGAAGCTGTGGCAAAAAATGGGCATGCTTTGAGAGCAAACGAGCAATAGCCAGTCTGAGCAGTACCCATGTCACTCGATTGGCTTTTGAAAGGTGCGTTGTCTTCAACTGCTCGCCAGAAATGGACTATCTAATGGTGCCCAGAGCCGTGTAGGCCACGCGTTTCAGCGGCAAGTGGCATCGCTTCTAGGTGGGCAAGTTCTTCAAGGGCTTGGCATCCAGTGGGGCCTGGTGCTGCTTCGACGAGTTCAACCGCATCTACATCGAGGCTGGAAGAAGCCTGGAATAGTTTGGAAAGCTGTGGACCCTTTCCATTGCACACAGGTCTTGAGTGTCATCGCACAACAGCTGCTTCAGCTTTTCAGCGCCAAGCGGGAGCTTACCTCCTACAACGCCACTTGTCCGTGGCATGTCGAGTGACGCCGTGTGAGTTTTGAAGGGCAGACCCCCAATGACCTTGCATAAGGACTCAGTCGAGCTGGAGTTTGACTCCACCTTGATAATGATGCGGCCCACCTTTAATGCAACCCGGCTTTCGAAGATGGGATTGTTAAGCCAAAGCCAAGTCAGCACTGTTCTGTCAGGTGTTCATCACTATGAATCCAGGATATGACTCGGGCTCAGCCTTGCACTGCCCTGGCGGCATCGGCATTGCCAATTGCAATGCAGACAGCACGTCAGGCCGGGCGAAGCGAGCTTCCAGACAACTTGGCGGCATTGTTCCGGCCAATGGTCAATACCTCAGCAAGTCCAAGCAGCATGACAGCCAGCGGTGGGGACAAGGTCCCTTCCCCTTTGTAGCCAGGCTATGATGGTCCCAGACTACGCCATGATCGGTTGCTCGCCTCAAAAGCGATTTTCTGGACTTTGGTCATGTGCAATGCCAGCAACGGAACCAAGGTGAGATCAGTTTCTACGCTTTTGGCTTCGAAAAGGGGAGACATCTGGCTAAGAAGATGGCAGCACCCTCAGTCTCTGCCAGAGAGTGCCGCGCATGCTGAACATGCGCGGCATTCGTTCCCGTACCCTAAGGTGACGACCTTCCAGCTTTGCAGCGAACAGCTCTCTGCTCAAAGCCATTATGACTATGGCATGCGAGCTGTCGGGCCGCCTGGGTGTATTGTTAGAAGGATTTCAGAGCAATCGCGGCGGGAGCACCAAGGTCAAAACTGTGATTGAAGCCGCTGGCCTCAACAAGCGTAAGTATCCGGCAGGGTGCTTGGTTGTACAAATATGTTCAGAGGAAGCAAGTACAGCAGACGCAAACACCTCAGCCACAGGACCAGAGTGAGGGACAAATCCTCCTGCGAGCCCTACAAGATGTCAATGTGCCTTCTCTCGAACTGGCTCCAACACGAGTAGTCCTTGCTTTGCATCCCTTGCAACTGCACAGGGTCCCCTTTGCAAACAGCTACCATGTACACGAGAGCACGCCGCAGGTGCCGAAGTTTTTGAAGGATGACCTGCCCTTGTTCTACAACATCATCTCGGATCTTTTCCCTGGTGTAGAGAAGCTGGAAGCTTACACATCGCCCCTTTCTGTTCCAGTCGTTCCACAGGCTAGTCTAGACAAGGGCTCGGTTGTGCAGTGAAACCCTTCCGTCAGGCCTGCAATTGACTACGGGAAATTGGACGAGATGGCCAAGGAGAAGTCAAAGCTTACCAATCTGCAGCTCAGAGGCATTGCTGATTTTCTGCCGGCCGGAAGACGCGAATCTATGTCGGCAAGTCTAGTCAAGTGCCCCGACACGAGTCGGGCCTGTACAGTCCGAATCATTGCGGAACATCAGTGACTGCCCGCTTTTGGAATTCTTGGAATTCGAGGCTTCGTGACTTGAAAGCTGCCTGCACATGATCTTCATGCGGCAGCCAAACTGCGTCATGCTGATGCATCTTCCATGGACATACATGGATATGAAAATCGGTTAAGAGCCCTTGATCAGGCTACACCCGGGCCCTGATCCATGACAATTTTTGATTGGTGGGCACAGCTGCCATCCGGTGCTCAGGCAGCCCACGGATTACTTCATCAAAAAGCAGTTCGAGCTCTTTGATATGATCCAGGCATACCACACCATGCTGTACCAAATGAGGCGGGTGAAGCCAGATTGCAAAAGCCTGAGGTCCGTCACGGCATGATGCTTGTTGGGCCCACCGGTGGTGGCAAGACGTGCTGCTATCGCACGCTGCAGGCCAAGTGCAGGGCCTTCAATAGCAAAGTGGCTGGAATAATGCTTTGCGCACCCACTTGATGCAGGCCGCTTGCACAGCTTTGGTTGATCCGAAGGCAGGGCCCCCCCTCCATCTGCAAAAGTCTGGACGCCTGCGCCCGCCAACCTGCTTAGGATCCAGAGTCACCTTTCCAGAAGACGCACGTGCACGTACTCAACCCCAAGGACAGTAGGTTTTTTGGAAGAAGAAGGATGAATCTTCATTCCTGATGGGTTCTTTGAGGCAATCACACAGAACCAGCTCTATGGGGCGTTTGATGAGGCTGGAAGGATCTTTGGAGTTATATTGGGCAAGCAGCTGCAAGAGCGTTGTTTGTTTTGAGAAAGGTCACACGAGAATGGTCCGATGGGGTTGCAGCTGAGCTCATCCGCAATGCAACCCGCGACAACCATAACCCGGATCGCTTGCTTTGCTTTTTTTGTTGACTCTTTGCCTGGTCCACCCCGTCCAAGCAGACCAAGATGTCTCGGCGGAGGATCACCACTGGGTCATGTTTGATGGGCCCGTGGATGCATTGTGGATCGAGAGTTGAGGACTTGGCCATTGTGAAGAAAGACAATCCGCCTGTGGCCTACTTGTTTGCAGCGTTTTGTATTTGAGAAGATCTGAGGCATGAACACGGTGCTGGATGACAACAAGAAGCTTTGCCTCGTGAGCGGCGAAATTATAGCCATAACCCCAGTCCTCCAGAGAGATGGCTGGATTCAAGCGAATCCCGGCTTGATGCGCGAGGCCTTGACTGCCAAGATGCGGATGCAGTTTGAGGTAGAGGATCTGGAAGTTGCATCGTGCCCCGGCTGCTCTGAACGTGCACCCGCGAAGGGATTTCATGGTGTGGTCATGACAAGCCAGTAGATATCAGGCCCGCCACCGTATCTCGCTGCGGAATGATTTACATGGAGCCAGAGAGTCCCGCACCGGAGCACATGTATGTTGTCAGCTGCAGCGGTGCATCTTCAAAATCAGGTCTTGGCTTTCAGCCATTCTTTGACTCGTGGCTGGAGGTGTGCCCTTGTCAACGCTGGGTAGTGCACATGAGCTCTTGAATCTTGAGTCCACCATGTGGAAGGCATTGCCAGAGACCTTCTCCTTCAAACCCATCCTTGCCACGAACTCAGCATTGAGGTGACAGGCAGCACCGTTTGCCATGACTATGTCAGCAAGGCCCAGACCTTGCGTCGCTTGCTTGAAGAAGTCGTGCCGCCCTGTATCGCTTTCGCTGCTTGGAAGCAAGGATTTTGTCTTCTTTTTGTTGTTGGTGTGTGGCCTTCTGCCAATACTGGCTGGTACGCCCCTTGCCTGTTAACAATCTAGGTGAACAAGAAGACTTCCCGATGTGCCAGGAACTCACTGGCTTGCAGATTTCTGTGTATCAAGCTGCTGTTGCGATTCATGGCCAAGGTCACAACGACAGACAACAACTCCATCCAGGCAGCATTGCCTGTCCAGGTAGCGCAGCCAGCTTGACCAGTGCTTGCACAGGCGCTCTTCAGGCTGATGGACTGCTACTTCATCAACTTCCAGCCAACCGAATTGAAGCCCGCAGCCTCTTTCAAAGATGCTATCGCAGAGCCTCTTGCCTGCAGCAGTCACCTAGTCCAGAAGACCTCTGGTCAGTGACATGTGCGTTGCGATGCAGAGCTGATTATCTGAGGCTCGCTGCCGCCTGAGCCGTGCCATTGTGCCGGAGGGGTGTGAAGAGTGTCACTTCATTCAAGCCTTGCTAATCGCTCAGGTGCCAAACCTGGTGCCCCTTTTCTTCTTCTGCCTGATCTGGTCCATTGGAGCGACCTGTGATGCCAAAAGCCGCAACGGCTTCAGTGATTTGGTCAGTGACCTACCTGCCTAGCAACGACCTACGAGAGCTCTACTCTGCTCTGCTCTTCACATGACTGGCGGACGAGGTCTGGGCAACCGTGAATGCAGACTTGCGGCCACCAGTCGTTGAAGATTTGGGGAAAGCCTTCCTGACTGTAAGAATCTGAGCTTCAGGACACTGAATTCAGATTTCAAGTGTCGAAGCATGGGATGGCAAGGCTCCAGAGCTTCAACCTGACGTGGAGTTTCCTGGAATCGAGCCGGGAGACATGCTTTACGACTACTTCTATGATCAGGCCCGCCTCTGTCGTCTCAGGATCCTCGGAAGCCTTTTTTGGCAATGCAGGAGAAGAAGCAGTTTGTGCCATGGATGACCACGATCCCAAAGTTTGAGGCCAGCTAATGACACGTTCCTGTCGGGATGCTGTGGTAGTTATGTGCCTTGGCCCGTGCGGAGGTCCCTCGAGGTGCCAAGTACGAGGAGATTGTGGTGCCTTCTGTCGACTCGGCTAGACACCTGGAACGTGATTGCTGCTCATACGGCATGAGCAAGGAAACAGTGCAGAAGCGAGCAGTGAGATCCAGGTACGTTTGGTCTACATCTTCCAGCTTTTGGTGCTCAACGACAAGCATGTGCTCTGCCCTGGGCCTGAATCCTAGTAACAACGTGCGAGACCGCAGCGGCAGCGTAGTCCGCAATCCTTTAGGCCTACTGGTACGGGAAAGAGTGTCAACATTTCGCTGTGGCTGCAGAAGCAGGCGCTTTGAGCGGAAGAATGGATAACACGCCAGTTGCCAAGACCCGCGCACTTGTATTCATGAAGGCGCCGGAGAACTACCAGGGTGTGTTCATCAACTTTTCAGCACGGCACCAAACGGGAGTGATTGCCCTTTGTAGCTGCTAAGCAGCTTTTGGAAAGCGAGGCGCAAACACATGTCAACCAGCTACAAGACTTGATCGACTCCAAGCTCGAAAAGACTGAGCCTCAGCAAGAGTGATATTTCTCTCTGAGACGGACATGCTGATGCATTGTGCGTGCACGGCAGCACGACCGATGCTCTGCAACGGGCGAGATGATGAAGTAGGAAGTTCATGACCACAGGCGGCGGCGAGGCGTTTACGGCCCACCTGCGGGCAAGAAAATGGTTTGAGCCTCAGGGTGCATAGCCGCGCTGCAGTTCGATCTTCCCTTCCCCGTATCCATAGTCGTTGGCATTAGGTGCTTTTTATCGATGCTGCTGCCTCAGCTTTGCCCGAGCTTTCTAGGATCCTGAAGCCACAATAGAATGTGGTCAGGATCTGAACATGCCCCTTAAGGACCTGGAGGGGTGGCCCGGGCATTTTTTTTAACATCACGTTAGCCTGACAGAGGAGTACTATGGCGCACAGCCTCCGATCGAACTAATCCGACAATGGCACGATCACGGAGGTTGGTACAACCGCAAGGCCATGCTGCCACGGCTCGGTATTTCATTGTAGCCCGGCTAATGCCGCGAGTTTTCAGGCTGCCTCCTGCATGCATTGCATGTGATCAGCAATCTGCGGCAGTGGAACCAAGTCTGCATGACTGGCAGACTGATCGGCATGAACACGAGCATGAGTGTTGGAACCATGAGACGCTTGGGCAACCTGCATGTCATGACATGCGAGAAGGGCTGCCAAACCCCACTCAGAATCCGAAAGCCCTCAGCTGAGAAGGTCAACAAGTAGCCCACAGTTTCCTCTAAGGAGGCTCCGCCTGGGCAGGACATGCAGGTAGGTGAATAACACACCTTTGGATACAGGCCTTGTCGAAAAATCGCGAGTTCTGCCTGACTTCGCCGCAATAAAAGACAGTAGCCTCAGTAGCCACAAATACCACAACATTCAGAAACGAGAGAATTAGTATAAGGAATCCAGAATAATTTACATAGGGCTGCTCCTGGCAGGAGCTGGTGAAGCAGCAGCCTCAGTTGATCCAAATGAGCTAGTTCTCACGGCTGCATGCACAAGCCAGAACGAAGGGTCTTGGCACCTGAAGGTTTAACATCATCGATGTTGTCATGGTTTCGGCAATGGGGCCTCCAGGCGGTGGCCGAACTTTCATTACCGAGCGTATTTTGGATGCATAATTTCAAGTGCTGTCTTCCTGTTTGACTGGCCGCTTTCCGTCAGTTTGCTTAGTTTCAGCCCAGGTCTCAAACGCCACTACAGCACGTGCATGGCCTAGTGGGTCAAGAACCGTTGTTCTGCAAGCGTCTTCCTGTCATGAGCTACTGTCAATATTAGGCTTCTCAAGGGGCCATTAAGGGTGGAGACAGGGGCTTTTTTGGTGGTTTGTAGAGTCCCTACTTATTCTCTAGCAAGGACCATTGTCCATTAAGTACAAAAGGGAATCTTGATTGTAGCTCCTATGAACTGCTGGATGCAAGGACCGCGTACTCGGACCTGTCTGATGCAGTTCTGGCATGTTTGTCTCACCGCCAGTAGCGTGGGATGGGTGCCGTTGCCGAGTCAAGTCAGCAAGCTATTGCAGAACCTGGGCGTGGGTCCAGGTCTCGATCAAGCACATCTTTGACGTGATTTCGAAGTATTTCTTTGCGGCAAGGACCCAAGACTGAGGGAGATGTACTTGCGTGTTCCCCATTCCCATGTTGTAAGCACAGTTTACTGCAGTTGTCATCTGTCAAGGTGTTTGACGAAAGCGTGCAAAAGCTGGTCCCAACCATGATCGGGTGCACTATCAATGTTTTCAAGCAGGCCTGCTTGTTGTGTGTTGTGCGCGGTGCATCATATGTCTCGCTGCTGTTTCCAGAGAACTTGGCTATCTTGGCTCGCAAGTGCTCGCAAGCATGTGCAGTGCATAGACCCAGTCTACCAATGGCAAGTGCCAAAGCCCTTGGCCTCGATGACTACAAAAAGCTTGTCCGAGAGGCCGGGACTTTCAGAGTGGGCTGGGGCAGGAGATGCATGCAAGTTGGTAAGCCTGGAATGCAGGCGATGCACAAGGATGGTGTCCATGCAAAATTCCTTGAGGACGCTCACTGGGCTTCCTCCTTAGTTGTGCGCAGGCTGCTTGCGCCTTAGACCTAGCTCAGCTCTTGAGGTTCAACTTTGGCGGAAACACTTCGAAGGAAGTGCGCTGCTTGATCCAGCTGACACTTGCCTGAGTTGCAGGGGTGCTCGTGCAAATTCTGGATTCTTAGAGAGGCTATCGTGAGAGTTGCCGAGGTGCCCTTCAAGGAAGCCATGCCGGAAACGTCACCTGTCGCCACTTTTTTCTTCTGTCAATGTCTGTCAGTGCACATAGCATTGTACAGCTCTTTCCTAACCAAGGTTCAACGGCCACAACCTGCTTCTGGGACGTGTTTGTGCTCATCTTGAAATAAGGATACGGTGTACTGCCAAAAGGTGCACGAGGGAATTTCACATACGTTCGTGCGGATGGTGCTTTCTAGCCAAGGAGAGTCCTTCAATGGAATCTCCTGGCCGAAGGCCTTGTGCCTGAAGGATTCATGATGCCGCTGGTTAGTCAAAAACATGTTGAAAGATCAGTTACTTGGCCAGCACTGCACGAAACATGCTCCTGCATTTCATTTGGCGTTGTACGGGGCAGGGAGTTCACCAAAACCAAGGACATGTACTTGGAGGAGCTTCTGAGAAAAAGTGGGCCCGAAGATTTGCAGAATGCGGCAAGATTAGCTTCGCAGGGGCCAAGAAGTTTCGTTTGGAGGGAGGGCCTGTGCCTAAGTCCTCAGTATGTGTCTGATGCACACAGCCGAGCATTTTTTCTTGGTAGGAGTATCAGACATGAGGCGATGGTGGTGCGGAAGGATCTTGGGAGGAGTTTGCGCGAATGGCATGCAACATGGTCCTGGCGATGAAGGGCTTGGCCCCTTCACAAAAAGAAGAACGTGGACTTGAGCTCAAGAAGATGCCGCCCGCCTGAACTAGACGGACAAGTTGGCTTGGATGCGCTGGCTGTGAGCTGCACATTGCGTAGGTACAATCCAGACTTGGACGGCAAGGGAACTGGTCAGCTGACTGTGAATGAGAAGGCAATTGTGGGTGCTGAGCACCGGCTGTTCCGAGTAGCACCTTGCCAGCAGCCATGTCATGTTTTGATGAACAGAGCTGCTCTGGTGAGATCACTCCCCTTCGTGGCAATCTTGCCCAAGAACTCTCGGCTTGTCCCAGGTATGGTTCGTGGCCTTGCTCAAGCCCGACATAATCTGCTTGCAGGATGGAAAGTGGTCCAAGAGTGTAAGAGTAGCCGCAGCAACCGCAAGAAGCTGCAAGCAGGGCATGGAGTCATTCGTTTAGATAGAAGGTGGAAGCATCATCACATCATGGCACGTCGCCATTCTTGTCAGTCGGTGTTCCCTGCGAAGGAGGTGGACAATTTCCTGTTCCTCTCAAAGGAGCTGCAGAAGCTGGGCTACGCCTGCAGTAGTGAGGATGCAGCAGCCTACGTCCCTCTCAAGGACAGGCCTGGATCAAGCTATGGTGACTCGTCTTCTCATCATCTTCATGATTCGTCGTGAAGTTGGCACTTGCGCAAGCAGCTGTTTGGGCACAGCCAAGGCGAAAAGCTCAGCTCTTCCTCCTGGGCATTTGCGCCCAAAACGGGTTTCAAGAAGGGCAAGTCCACGGCCCGGCACTTCCTGGAGAAGCGCGTGGCAGATGGAACTGGAGTCAAAGCGCATCGCTGCCGCAAGAGCTTAGCGGGGAGCATCTGTGTTCTTTTGTCCACCTAAGAAGCTGCAACTGACGCAGACACGAGGCGATTCTATGGACAAGAGGCGTGGCCAATTGATGATGATGGTCAAGCAATTTTCTGGCGCGCGGATCGTTTCCAGATCGTTGGCAAACCTGCAGCTCGCATGATCGCATGAAACGTGGGACGTGGGCTGTGTTTTGGAAGCCGCAAGATGAGCTAAGGAGTTCCAGACACTGCCGGGAGATCCAGACATTGACGCGTTCGTGGAAGGCACCTCTGAGGCCCCAGGACTCCTGGACGCAAGCGGAAAAAACATGGACAAGCCATGCTCCAGGCTGTCTTGAAGCTTGCCTTTCTTCCCCCGCAGGATTTGCGACAGCGGATCAAGCTGCAGTTCGGGTTCTACTGCAATTCAAAGACTTGGATGAGCGACTGCGGCGACAGCGCCTTGACTGGGTCCGAGACACCTTCCGTCCACGCAGTGAATGTTGTTTCTCAGGCAGTTCTACGTTTGCACTACGCACTTGCGCCTGGCCTGCAATATGTCAAGCTCACAAGCATGCCTGAAGCATGCTAAGCCTGTTGAGGTCCAGTGGAACGGATAGTGAAGTTCGGCGCATTCAGCAGCTTCACCACCTGGGCCAAAGCTGGGGTCGCAGCGGCTTACCCGAGATTTGGCGTCTCGGCAAAAAATACGGTCTGCCCAACTTGACTTGACTTGAACCAACTTGTTGCGCTTATGCTGCCTTTCATTTTCAATGGATTTGGATCAGGTCCATGGATGCGAACACAGAGCTTGACTTTGATGATGCAGATCCTTATGCAGCAAACCAACTTTGTCACTGGTTCTTGGATTATTTCTGAAATCCCTCTGACTGCACCTTTGGGTTCGGAAGGCCTGCAGGCGGCCATTAAGCTCAACTGCCGGATCTGCCAGGTCACGCTATCGGGGTGAATCTGAGGCTCTAGATGCGGAAACCCTTTGCATGCTTCCAAAAGCGTAGCGTGCCTGGCCCTTGGGCTGGTGATGAACGCCAATTCAGATTATAAGTCTTGCCGTGTTGGCCGCTCGTAATCCTATAAACCCGTACACTTCAAAAAGGCCACTCCCGAGGCCACGCAAAAAAAAGCGTCTTGAGCCGGCTCCGTGCACTTCAGGACATGGCTCTGGGCAGTTGCGTGCCCATTCCGGAGGAAGCTAATGCGCTCCAGAGCTTCATGCACAACAACGACTCTTGTAATGTTAAATGATCAGTTGATGAGAATCATGTCAACTAGCGGGTGCTTGACGCACAGCCGGCTGCAGCCAGTGAGATGCCTTAAAACTGCTGAGGACCTGCGAAGCATCTGGGAGGAGTTCTACAGCAGCACACGCGACATGTGGAATCCTCCCGTTTCTGCGGCTCGATGGGAACCAAACCATCGATGCAAATCTAGTAATTACTTCTGCATGGCACCCAGGTGTGGAAGATGAGGGGCAGTGCTTCTGCTCAGCCGAAGAAAGTGGGCGAGGAGCCACATTGTTCTCGAAACTGCGCAACTGAACATGCTGGGCGTGCGGACGCAGGACATGTACCAACTCATTGACCACATGTTCTACGATGGCCGACACCTGTTCCAGTTGGGCGAGCAGGCCTTGCGGCTTCGGGAGAAGTGCTTTGGAAAGAATTCAGGGGGGCATCGGTGCTTAGCCACTTACGGACCTAGCACCGCAAGAGAAAGACAAAATTTGGTCGGGGACCGAGTAGAGTGTTGCTGCATGGAAGACCTGCGGGTGGCTAAGGAAGACTGATGACGCTTGGCTGCCGTTGTTACAGGTTTTGGAAAGATGTCTCCCGCCCTGGTTGGCCCAGACGCGGTCCCAGCCTTTGAGTAGTATGCGGCATGTGGACCCGTGCGCTAGCGGGCTTCTTTTTGCATGTTGTTGATTTGTAGGGCAAGCACGCGTATTTTTGTAGTGAATCAGGTGTCGGCAGGCTAAACAGCTAAGAGGAACACCCAGATCACTGAAACTTCAAAGCCTCGCTCCGCGCGGCGCTGGTAGACTCAAAGTGACTGAGGATCATGCGGACCGGGATTGGCTGGCTCTGATGCCAAACGAGCTTCTACCCTCAGACCACTTGCCGATAGTGCAACTCATTCGCAGTCTTCAGTAAGTCACGACAGCTAGCTCCCTGGAGCTTACAAGAGTTCTTGTCTATGAAACATAGGCTCCTGGGCCAAAGAGAACTTTTTGGAGCATGCTATTTCATGCCAGGAAACATTCGAGATTAGTTTTCAAATTTCCTCACGGGCGAGATGTGGAGGGATTCACGGGACTTGTTTTTGAGGGAGCCAGACCATGATATGAGTCCTGAATTCGGGGTGTTGTAAGTGAGTACGGTTATGATGCGGAACTATAGTTGACTAGGGTTGCCAAGACTTCCGAAGCAATGTTTTCAGAAGTTTCCGTCTATTGGAAGTTCGAAATGATAGAAAAGCTATGGAGGAGCGTGAGAGAGAATTAGGGTTATCCTGCGTGTTCTACTCGTCTTGTCTGCTTTTTGCACCTGGGCAAGCTAACTCGAGAGTCTACAGGCAATCCAACTGGAATTCAGGGCTTCCCGAATCTCCTACCTTTCTCTTATCGTTTCTGAGCGCAAGCCGCAAACAGAGTCGAACTGGAACTAGGGATATCTTGGCCTTCCTAATCAGAAGACGGTTGCTTCAGTAGAAGTGCAGAGAGCCTCCGTAAATCTAACGAGTGTCAGCGGAATTAGAACTTCTTGTGATTTCCTTTAGAGAAAGTGCTGGTTTGCACAGACAAGAGGCCCGCAAATAAGGCCTTCAACCAACATCCCCTAATAGCCCCCAGTACTGTAATGCATGATTCTTTGGACCAGTGATCCCTCATCGTTAGGCGGAAGTGAGGGATGTATTTCAGTACAGGGCAAGTTGCTGCTGCCAGCCTTGGGAATTCTGACTGACTTTCTTCCATGCTGCTCTCAAGTCTGGATTGCGGGCAGGCTTTGTTGCCTGCTCAGTGATGGCAATTGCTCAACTGAGACTCTCAGCTAGTGGTACCCGCCCAAAGGTTTTTTGTTTGACACGCTCATACGTGGGGCTTCATTGGTAAGCGCATGCCCTCCAACTCGGATGCCCTAAGCCTGAGGTGGGACTTCCAGCTTCGAGTCAAGAGCCCGCGTATGGAATCTACAGTCCTTCTAAGCACTGCGGAGCAGCTCTTCCGCCAGCTGATGCCCGGTTCGGCGTTTCAACATGTTTTGGTCTCATACACAAGGCTTAAGCCCGGTTGAGCCTTCAATATTGCACTCGTCTTGGTGTGGGCCCCCGTGAAACAACTGGACCTGATCCTGAATACTTGAAACCCCCCAACCAAACAATTTTTTCCGGGTGGTCAGTAGTAGTAGGCACTGGTACCAGTATCAGTATTTGAAAACGTTTTTGAAGTCGCATCCCTAGTCGACTTCATATTCAGAGCCGCGCTACTTCGCATTAGTATTAGCGTTGGTATAATTTTCGTATTCGTACACGCTCATGTACTAGTGTGGGTGTTTGGTATCAGTACTGGTTCCGCTAGTATCCGTTTGTTACTTGTAGGGCTACTGGTGCTAGCCTTAGTATGAGTAACTTTATGAGTATTAGCATTGGCTGTCGTCATAGTCTTAGTATGGATCTCAGTGTTGGTATTCGTACTTGTACTTGTGCTTGTATTTGCATTCGTTTTCATAGTATTGTTAGTATTCGAGTAGTGGTATAACTATTAGCATAAGTAGAAGTCTTGGTATGGGGATTGGTATGAACGTCTGCGTTGGTTCCATATGACTGATATTCGCTGCTCCCCCGAACATACCTTGGAAAGACGTGAAAGACTAGTACAGAGTACTGGGAGCCGAGAGCTAATGCTGTATGACTAAGGTTGGGAACCGGGAGCTTTGGGTAAGTGTGTGTGTGTGTATGTATGTATGTACGTATTTATGTATGTCTCTATATATCAAAAGGTGTGGCAGCAGAAAACCAATCCCCCTTAAGCAAACCTGTTCGCTGGCCCTCAATATAAGTACCTGAACGAATCCAAAGAGAAACTCATGCAATAACAAACGCATCTTTTTCTGGAACAAAGAGACATTTGAGTCATTTGTAACATTAACATTGCCCTGAAATTGCTTCTCCCTAATCCCCAACCCCATACCTGGTAGGGAAGACTCAGTGTTTTATGAGTAAGGAGATGACCCCATTACAGGGTGTCTCTTTAATTTGAGCCCTATCTTCTATAGGGGTTATATAGGGATGAGATAGGGGGTATTAAGGATTATATCGGAGCTACTCCAGGGATTGGGAAGCTTCCAACCTCCAATGCTTAAACCCTCATCTCCGAGCCCTCACCAATACACCTTGAGATTTTTTTCAATCCTGCATGGGTCTCTCATGAGAGTTTGTTTTCAGCCGTGTCTAAACGTTCTCCATCTTGCTACACAGAGTCTTGAAAAGAAATTAAGAAGGCCGGTCTGATTGGCGAAATGCGTGGCGCTTACGGGGATGAGAGCACTCTTAATTAATCATGCGCCCAAAACCGCAAGGTTGTACTGAGAATGGGAGGTCTTCCAGCACGCCCAAGTGTTAGTGTTTCCATTGAGTGCCAACACCCATTCTCAATCCCCAATTGAAAAGCCCTTAATCCGGAAACAGATCTGCTACTAAACCCCTCGGTCGGCTGCCCAAAGCACAACAAGATGACCTGTGAGCGCGGATCAGGTTCTCATGTGCTCTGTATATTTGGGCATCCTTTACTGGTCCAATGACATGGCTCAACCTCATGGCTCTGAGGGGCTGGACACGATCAGTTTCCAACGATTTTGACCATAATTCAGCCAGGGAAGGTAGCTCCTCTTGGCTTCTTCCTGGTGCCAGCACTACATCAAGTGGGGCCCAGCAGAATAGGACACAGCAGGTCCAGCAGAGCCCCTTTGGCAACACGAGGATCGCCCGACTCTTTTGCAGAAGTATGCTCACATGGGAATGCATTTTTAAATGTATTTCGGCACCTGTGCAGAAGCCGTTCGCCCGGATATGCCGTGTTTAATTCGGAGCTTTTTGCCGCGTTTGCTTAGCAGAATCTACGCTGCACTGTTGCCCAGGAAGCCATTGCTGAAGCAGGATGATCAGGTCCTGACTGACATTGAGGCGCTCTTCAAGCCGCTGTACTTTGCAGGTCGCTTGGCTCAAGCCTTTGCCAGAATTTAGATTGAACATGTTCATGCCAAGGAGCGCTCACAGCAAAAACAGAGCTTGGACAGTTGCCAGACGCGGCGATTGACATTTTTCAGGCACTGAAGATGCTCGGCTACACAGGGATCATTAGGTTCCTTGTGACAGGGTTCGTTGGGGAAATGTTTGCAGCGTGGTGGATGCTTCATGCACCCAGGAAAATCTCCGACGAGGCCAAGGTCGTGCTCAGCTACGAGCTGGTTTATGGCACTTTGGCGGCAACGCACAGCCTCTCTGGACTTTTTTTTGATTTACATCCCAGACATGGGGTTGGGCCATATCTCGGCATGCGTGGGCTAAGACACGTGAAGAGAGGTTGTTCGTCAACAAGAGCCGCAAACTGCGGGTCTTGCGCAGAACTCTGCGGCATGCATTCTTAAGGTAAACTATTGAAACGCATTAGCTTGCTAAAGATGATAGTGCAAGCTATGCAAATTTCGCAAGGCAATTATGGCATCCAGCTTTAAAAGAACGAAGCACATTCAATGCAAATCAGTAAGTTACTCGCGACCCGCTTGCAAAGACTAGGATGCATGGAGGGCGGGTGGTTGCCATGATCCGCTCTCTCTCTCTCTCTCTC